AATCAGTCGTTACACACTAGATGCTAAACTGTGTGTTTGATAGTAACAACATGCACTTTAAACAGATTCATTAGCTTCCCTTGTTTGTAACAGTTAACCTTTATGCTCCATCCAGTGTAGCAGAGGTGAAGCAGCAGCCGCTGTGTGCATCACTGCAGCTTTGCTGCTCGCTCGTCTGTCCCTGAAGCTCCGGGAAGAAGACAGCGAAGCAGGTCGTTTGCAACCTGAAGGTTTCTGTAAAACAGCACGACCAGCCTTTACCGTGTCTACACAAATGTGAAACCACAGAGAGTAACAGTGGAGTCGATGAGGCTTGACATGCTGCTCCCAGGCTGATCGACGTCTCCTCTGCTGTTCAGCAACACAACGCAGGCCTGAAAGCACGTCGTGTCCATCTGAGCCGATCAAACTGCTTCTTTCTTCCTGCCCCGACACTCCAACATACAATCACAGCACACACGTGGACCGGTCCAGACTACATTTCAGGGACAAAGCTGTCGCACTGACACACAGCGCCTGTAGTAACAGAGGCACCAACCAGGATGTGCTGGTTGTGTCTACTTCTGACAACTGCTGTCATGAGCAGGACAGAGCTGCCGTCTGTCAGCGCGCACCTCGCTGTGATGCCACCTGTCACACCCAGCTTCAGAAACCCACCATGCTTCATGTCTTCACCTCACACTGGTGCTGCTGTCACATATTCACACTGAAGCTGAAATAACATATTAGGAAGATTCTCACCTGGGAGTCTGATATGGACACCCGTTTGCTCTCCACGGTGGGCCTGCGAGGGGAGATGTGCGTCCTCTCCTGCAAAGACAGCTTCCTCCCAGTCAGGTGAGGCCGCGATGGAAGAGGCCGCTTGGCCTGAGCCACATCCTGCTGGGACGCGCCGTTCTTCGCGCCGCTGGCGGCTGAGCCGTCCGAGTCTTTTGTTGTCATGGCGGCCATGATGTCTGTGAGACCGCTGGTCGGCGTAGAAGAGTTCGGGTCCAGCCTCTCACAGCCAGCGTCACTGCTCATAGCCATGATGGCTCAGGAAGTGGGAGCTGTGGAGAAGCAGGTGGCAGGGAGAGGAACAGGCCCACCAGCATCAATGTGGCCAGCGTGCAACGTTCAGGGTCTCAGCGGCGCTGCAAAGACAGAGACGGGAAAAAGACAAGCTCAGTGAGAGGAGATGCACTATGCATGCACCTGGTTTGCTTTAAGGATGATTCTCTCTAATTTATCTCTGCTAAATGAATCTGTTTATTTGCCAGAGAGCGGAGCTAATAAAAATCATCTCCATAAGCTTTTGTCACATGTTCATATATTCACAACACGTTCTACCTTTGACTTCTACCTGCAGGCTGTTGCCTGTTAAACACATTCAGATCTCCACGACAGGTCAACGCTAAACGGGCTGCCGCCCACGAGCACCTCCAAGTGCTCTCAGTCTAGCATTCACGCTGCGATGGACGCGTGCGCGAGCGTCTTGGGGGTCGGTGTGTTGCCACAGGGACACTCTGGCCTATCAGGAGCCCTGCTCTACCTCCTGAGCTGCAGCCGGCCCCGTTTGGTTGGTTCAGCTCGTTGCCCTTATCCACAAATTAAGAGCTACCATGAACTGATACCAAATGCAAATTCATTTATGAAACAACATGGAAACTGGCCATAAACTATCTAAAGGCTTTAATTCTAAATGTAGGGATGCAACGATACCAATTTTTTCAAACCGATACGATACTTCTACCACACACACACACACACAAATACAATGAATTGGAAGACAGGTTTTATTTTATTCTCTGCCGATAAAAAAATAATATCTTAATAAAAATGACCACAAAAAAA